TCACAAGTCCCAGCACAGTCTGCATAAACTGCCCCTCCCCCAACCTTTAATTCTGCCTAGTGATGAGGGAGAGCGAGGGAGGGGAGTTACTGCCAGAGGAAGCGATGGAGGGAGGGAGAGATGGAGATAGAGAGAGAGAGATCCAACAAAAACAACTACTTGCTTCATAGATTTGACATTTGCTGAACGCACCCTCCTTCTGAAAATGTGCAGCCCCAGCATCCAATAAAATTTGGAGGAGGTCTGGCTCAATTTAGCAGTTCTAGCAGGGGGAGAAAAACATTTCTTACTGTCGACGGCGTTCATTTGCTTTTTTTTTTTGGTTGTTATTTTAAATGATTAGTACTTATTCATAATCTCGTTTCAGGACGAATGGGGGATGCCGGTGACAGAGCTGTGACATCCTATTGGTGAGCTGGGAAGTGCGATGAGCTCCGTTTCTCTGCTGACAGTCTTACACCAGCACACTTTGCCCACCATTAGGCAACAACATTGATTGATTTTGTCTTTGTTGATTTTTGAAGAATAATTAACATTTGTCTTGTTTATTACATTTAACTGCTGGTCCTTCAAGGGAAAAGTGTAGAAAATGTAAGTCAAGTTGCTTGATCAATCATCAGACTGATATTTTCTATTTTCAAAAAATGGCCAGCTTTAGTCAGTCCATATGAGATTTCTTTATTTCATATTATTGTTGAAGCACAGTACCGTCATTGTGAATGAAAAGAATCAGAATAATGTATCATAAGGCCTGAAAGGACCACATTACAGCAAAAGTCACACCGAGTGCTTGGTATTTCTCCGTTAACCCCCTTAAAGATGGGTGTTTTCGTCAAATTAAATAATGCCGGGTTTGAGCTGGTAAAAAGATGTAGGCCTGTGCCCCGCCTGAGTAATGATTGGCACCCCTGTGGACCACACAGCTCTGTCATTGAGTGGTGCCTATAGCTCAGATTGCAGCTTTAATTGTGCAGCCTTGCAAAGACAGCACAGGGAATTGGACTGGGGAGGAAAGGAGGGGGTTATTTTTGCATATTTCTATTTGTGGAGGGTGAGCAGTGGAGAGGGACAAGAGTGTGCCAGGGGGAGGGATCACCTTATTGCTTGAAATTAAATTTCAAGTTATATTGTTTGAATATTACACAAATCTATGTATTCATTTACTTTTGTTTAAAATATTTTATTTCAAATTCATGCTCAGAATGGGCCTACAGCAGGCCTGTATGTTTAACGTGGATTGTATTCTCTGATAATTAATCCACAATTACTGTAAATTCAATATGTGAATTTGATTTAAAATGAAAGAAGAAAACATAGGTTTTTGTTTGGACATGACCACTTAAAAATCATATTAAAATCCTTTAATCAGGTATTATATTTTAAATTGCTGCAGAAATATTATAAGCATTGTGCTCTAATTGGTTATTACCCTTCAAGCATTTTTTTCAAAGATCTGTTAATAACCCTCCTAGACCTGAGTGCCTCTGACATAATAGCAACATTTATTTAATCAAAAGTCTTGTGTGAAAATTTAAATGTATTTTAAGAATCTTGTAAATAAATAAATGATTGATCTTCCAATTTAGCTCCAGCAGAAATAACATCCAAAAAGTGTCCAACATTTAACAACAAAACCAAGAGGGGTGTCCCCGTCACTTCTCCTCCGCGCGCTTGCCAACACACAGACACACACACACACACACACACTCACACTCACACGAAAAAAACCACGAGCCATGATGCACGCGCTGGTACACGCGCGAGCACGGCGGCGGGGTCCAGGTGCGCTATTAGTGAGGAACATGACCGGGCAAGTCTATAATTTGCACCCACGCCCCTGGACTTTCTCATTTGGTGAAATAAATTTGCTTATTTTAATAAGATTCTGCAAAACCCAGAGAAGCTCTGAAATCACAGCTTTCCAGTTGAATAATTGCTTTACATCAACAGCAAATATTTGGAACCTCAATAAATGTAAGAGAGTTGAGGAAAACTATAAGGACAACAAACACAGGCTGCACATATGTGACTAACTGCTAATTGATATTCGCCAATATTTGAAAAAAAGGCTTATTCAATGTGTGCGAAAATGCCATAACTTAAAATGGCCTATTTTAATCATCTCGTTTGCATCGAGAACAGCCATGTTCCTCCTTCCAGCCAATCCACCATGCCCCAGACTTTTTTGCTAAGTAAATGCACACCCTCTCAGGCCCTGTGCTTTAAGGACAAACAATATGTAAACATGACTCCAAACAAGCAGGCTACACAAAGGCCTGGGAAATGCTCTCACGTGGAGATAGTGTTGAATTCCTGTTATTTTCGACGCAGATGTATTCAGGATTATTATAATGCACTGTAATAGCAGAAGATCAACTTTGCAGTAGGGTCGGAGATTTACTGCATATACTGAACAAGAAGGAATCCATTTAAACAAACAACCCGCCTTCTTTATTTGTAAACACAATTAAACAAAGGAGAAATTACGAAGACCAAATGATTTAAATAAGGAGGACGAATCTGAATGCGCCAATTAAGGCCTTCATGTGGGAGTAGATCTATTAAACTATTAAGGCCGTTGTGGAGAAAAAAAAAGGGGGCCGTTTTTTCGCAATCCAATTTAAAATAGAAACAATTTGCCATCACATAGACAACGAATTAAAACCCTAAAAATCTCATCCTAAATAAAAAAAGAGCATCTCTTTGGAATGAAGCGCCTGTGCCAAATATAGTCCATGCAAACAGCTGCAATTAGCAAATGCTACACAATGAGAGCATCAATATATCAAAAAACCCACAAGAATTCCCATCAAAACTTTACAGAACTGCAACATTTTTGAGTGAACTTGCTCTAAAATTCGTAATCAATTGATATGATTGCAGGCCGATGCATGTTTTCATTTTTCTCACACCCTCCCTCAGTATTTGCACCTCATTCTCCCTATTCAGCCATTTTACATATTCATAACCGGAGTTGGTAATGCGAAAACAATCCGTGCTATCAGCACCATCTGAGGCCGCCGCATAAAATCCCAAAACAGTCAGGTAAAAAAAGAAAAATCACTTTACACCTTTACTTTCGAAATATGTCTACCAGTTAGTCTCAAGCAGGTTTATACGTTTTGATTAAACGATTTTTAAAAAATATATATCAATTCCTCATCACAGAGCATCCGATGATACATCAAAGCACAAGCCACACACACCATTCGCCGCCACAAATCGATTGAGGATTCGATTAATTATCACTTTTCATTCAACTTAAACACAGCAAGACTCCAGCACTCGCTAAGCAGCATTTGGAATATGTCAAGCGTTTCTTTTTTCTCTTACCTTCTTGGAGAGAGTACAGCAGGAGTAAAGTTACAAGCCACATGCCATAAATAGCAGGTATATTTTTCAGGAATATTTGGCAATCCTGGCAAGTGTGAGGCGCGGTTTTTTGGCCAGGCGGGTCTCCGTGCTGGACTGGCGACTGTGCTCCCCGGAGGTCTCTCCAGCCCTGCTGCCCCGCTAAGCATGGAGGGGAAATGAGAGGCGCTTCAGCCCCGCCCATGTCCCTCCTCTCTTCCCAAGACTACTGTGCATACAAATCCATCCTCACTGCACTAATCAAACACCGCGGAACGATGGGTCACAGCAAAGCCGAGAGTTGACGTGAGCTGAACAGTGGATTTCGGTCTAAATGGGTCCAAATGGCCAGTTTGTGTGAGCGGGTGGAGCTGCGCAGACAGATCTGTTGGCACCTTGGAGAGAGCGCACCCACCTGTGCGCCCCTGATGACCGCGTTTTCTTTGCGCAATATGGATCTACACAAACTGCTCAGGTTGCTCAGAAGACTCTAAAAATGTAGTAATGTCCTTTCCTTTGAGTTTGGGCCTCAATCACAGGGACGCGGAGCTGCACCACAGATTAATGAATGCTTTTCTTTGTCTTTCGGAGCCATGGAACGTGCGCAGACATTTGCGCACAGATATGCACTGCAGATAGAGTGGAGGCGAGAGACAGATAATATAGCGGGGTGTGGGGCATGACACTTTCACACAGCAGGTGAATAACACAGCAGGTAAATCAAAGCAATTGTCAAAGGTTTCAGTGAAACCTTAAAGCATTGTGAGCAACTTTCTACATTGCTATTTTCCCATTTCACCCTGCTCTCTGTTGCGCTCCCCTGCATAAGCATAAATTAGGACGGCAAGAGTCAGGACACTCCCAGTTCATAGAATATTTAAAGTCACTGTGGATGCCAGTGGTGGATCTGAGAAGTGATCGTCTGCTGCAGCAGCCGCACAACCTACAGGCATAAAGAAACCATATAAAATGTTTTAATTGTTCATTTATGTTAATTTAGTGTAATTTTGGTCTGATTGTTGACTTTTTCTACCACTGCTGTCTTAAATACAAGTATTTATTTTGGCGTGGTGTTGTAGCCCAAGTATTCACACACACACACCTTTATGCGTGTGAACACAACAGGCCCTGAGGTTGGCAAGTATGTGAAGTGAATCACATGGTTTCTATGAAGGAGATTTTCCACATCACTAACATAAATGATCAAATGAACAACATATTCTTATTAGTATACATGTAATGCATTACAGGCTAAGGCTGTGAAACGGTTCACCATTTTAAATGAACATAGTCATTGCTTTGCTCACAAGCCAAATTAAGCTCCGATTGTTATGTGATTAAACGTTTCCAGCCCATATTTAAGAACACATAATAACCTCATAGCAACGACTAAAGACACCTAGACGTGTAGGTCTGTTTGACGTCCGTGTGTCGGATGTCACTCTTTGAAAACTTGGTTGTCTTTAAACTTAAACATCTTCAAGAAAAGGTCAGCATCGCCTTCTTGCCTCTCCTCACGCTGCAATCTGCTGTGACCGGAGGTTCAAGCCTCTGACTCTCCACACGCGGGTCACTGCTGACATCTGCTGGTTAGACTCACTCATGCAGGGCACATTCCTGCACAAGGATTTAGTTTTTTATGACCGTGTATGTGAAGTGTAATTGTGTTTGTGGCACTTTTTATTAGTGTGAAAATAACACTTGAAGATGTCCTATAACGCACCAATAATAGAAATACTCAAATTTTGATGTGAAGATTTCCTTTTATATTAATTTCATACATTTTTTACTTTGTTTCATCAAGCATAAAGGGAGGAAGGAGCATCTGGTGAACATGCAACATCGATACAGCATGACACTAAGCTCCCATGTACAAAATTGTACTTTTGCATTTTCCTTTGTGCAAAATCCCTTCACTGCCAGGACTCAACATGTTTCATTCGATAATTCATGTATTGCTAATGGTTGAACGTGACCATAACAATTCCAACCAATAATATGATCACAGACTTCTGAGTAATTCCTCACTCTGCCCCTTGCAGTCAATGGACAGTACATGGAGATAAGATAACTTTGAAATATTCATTTGCTTGGAAGCTGAGCATGGATGTTGTTGTTAATGTAAATTTATTGACATGATGACGGGTTAATCTCCCAGCCTTTCTGGATGGATTACAGGGATATTCCAGCGGTAAAATGTTGACACATTAAATAAAAAGAATGCTAAAAATTGACGCAGCAGATGGCAGACCCTTTAGCCCTTAGCACAGGCTCCAAAAACACAGGATACTACACTTCCCATGATGCAACTTGATAGTGTCTTTTATTAGACCATCCCTGAATGCAAAGGTTTGTATTGTCTATACATTGAGATGACCCTGATGACATTATCAAGGGGGATTTTCTCAAACTTGAAAGAAACTGTCCCTTTAAAGTGAGCATTTTTCAGCAGGACTATCGTAGAGGCATACACTCTGTTGTAGGTTTACCTGTGTAGTCGTCTGTTATCATTGTTCTCTCTCCCTCAGTCCAACAGGAGGCAGTCCTATCAAAGAACTAGCGCTTGTATACAAACAACACGACAGGCCAGATTTTGTTCAAAAATTTATTAGATTTCATGTTTCTATAATAAAGACATTAAGAGCTGATGTGCATGGGAGACATCATTTGAGGGCGAGCCAGAGCATTAAAGTTGTACAGTAGGCTATATTTGTGCGCAGAGAGCAGCGGTGGAGCATGACTTGGTGAGTCTATACGCTCTGCAGGGTCTGATCGAGTACAGGAGCTCCGGTCCACACCCCGCTCCTCTCTTGATGATCCACATTCACCTGCATCCCATCAACACAACTCCCTGATCCACATCTCCTACTGTAGTATTGCTCACAGAACTGTCACAGTAACTCGAAGGTGCGATGTGACAAACTGTCACTTCTGTTGTGATTTGCATAGAGTTGCTTGTCATCATAAGGCCCTCACTGTCACAACCTCAACGTTACCCAAAAGCTTAGCTTTCTCAGTTTATTGATCAGTGAGAAGGAAATCGCTTTTCTTTTTAACCGAGTCTAGTTAGACAACAATTGACAAAGATCAGCCACTCAGAGAAAAAACACTTTTCAACAGTGAAATCAAATTATTGCAATTGAATGATTTGATCCTGCAAAACAGTGTATTTATGTCTCCAAAGTCACAGCAACAGCCTGAAGGTTAGGACCTGATTTTTTTTGACAACACAATTCTTAAACCGGAGTGGATTTTTAAATCAAACAAGAATATGGAAAACATATATGAGGAATGTATATCACCCATAATATTTCTTGCACCTTCTGCAATATCTTTCACAAAGATCCCATGAAATGGGACAATGCAGTTATTGCAGCTTTTTCCGTAATTTAGTCGAATCAAATATAATTTTCCATCAATAATAGTCCATTGTTTTATAGTCCACATAGAGGAATTGTTTGACATTTTGGTTGTTTAGCTTAGCTCAGCAAAGAGATAGGTAACAGCAGGTGGAAACAGCCAGAACAGCTCTGTCCAAAAAAACCAAAATAAATCTGCCTACCAATAAAGCTCACTAACTAACATGTTATATTGCACATTTAACCAGTTAACAACCAGTGGACAAGAAACACTCCCTGCCAAGAAACAGTCCTCCACATAACCTTTCTGTTGGTTTTTACACTTCAGATTAAACAAACAAAATATAACATGTTAATAAGTGAGCTTTAGAGGTGTTGGTCGGCGGATTTTGTTAACATAGGAAGAAGCCACGCTAGCTGTTTCCCCCTTTTCCAGTTACTAAGATAAGCTAAGATAACAAGCCAGACACAAGAGTGGTATCCATCATAATCTCGGGCAAGAAAGCAAATTAGCCAAACTTCCCAAAACGTCCAAACTATTCCTTTAAGACCGATCCCTCTACATCTCTTGCCGCTTCAACAGGAAATACATTACATTGAGAAACAAACGACATCATTTCATGGGACTCATGGGAATGTTATCTCATGTGTGCCGTGTGGTTTCTTCTCATCTCACTTGGCTGATCAATGTGACAAACAGACACTGATTTGCATTAGATCCTATACAGACACACAAATATACATGTTTTCAAAGTGCCCAACACATCCATATCCATATCCATTTTATAATATTGCTTCAAGCTAGTGACTATAGACTGGAGTCACTTTAACGTGGAGGCACATTGTTATCGACATAACAGTGAGCTTCTGAAACCACCAGAAACTCACACTTCACTGTACAGTTGGCTAAGCTAACACCTACTGAGACTGGTGGAGGTACATCGATATCTGACCTGACCCAGCACTTAGCCACACATCTGTCCCACTCTCCAGAGGTATTTCTTTTTAAAGCCATGACATTCAGTGTCGTGAATGTGCAAAACACGTGTATATTGTAAATGCAGGTGAAATAGTATTTCACTGTTTGAGTGCGATGCAGCTACAGTACATTCATCTCCTTAATACGACGCTCGGTAGAAACCATCCCCGTTTAGCAGTCAGCGCATCACTCTAGCTTGAACAGGTTAATACTTGAACTGCAGTCCCCCTTCTCAACCTGCTATCCGAGACCCGACCCCATGATCATTTAGAGTATGAATTTATGGGTCATTTACTGTATGCATGGGCAGGGCAACCAGGTTTATCTTTTCCACTGCAGTGCAGCTATCAACATTATTTATTGAAAAGAGTAAAACACTGACTGAATGGAAAAAGTGTTGAGGAAAAACAAGCTTTTTGTACCAAGACGCACAAGCAAGTATATTGAGTCTGATCCAGGCATACAGTATCCATGGCCACATCACCAAATAGTGCTTAGCCTTAGCAAGGGTTAGCGCGATGAAATTCGTATGGCATAAAATGGGGTTTACAGTTAACCTCAGAGCAGACTCTACCAGTGTTAGTACATTGGAACATGTTTTTTCTCCCCCAAAAAGTATGAATATCTGTTTTCAAGCATTGTGTCTAAAGGTAAATCTGGCCCATGTTGCACATGCTTAAATGCATTGATTATTTGTCTTAAAAGCAGCAGCATCAGAGGGACATTCATTTTCTATGGGGGTTTGCTTCAGGGGATTGTCTATCGTGTCAGTTCAGAAGCTTGTTGTATTATTTCTGTTTGCTGAGCTTTATAAAGTGTTTTGCAATATGTAGTCGTCCTCGCTGGCAGAGGAGCATAGAAGCGCTAACAGGCACCTGTGTTTTATATCAAGCAAAGAGAAGTTACAGGATGAAGAGCTGGGCTGAATCCTACAGTATTCTGTTTGTACCATTTGTGTTAGCACCCTTTGTTTTACGACAGTTGCTTGAGTAACTCCTACAGCATCATTTAGGTGTATTGTGGAAAGTAGCCACACATTGACCAGTGTATCTGCGAGATAGATCATTCGATTTTGATTTAGTTGACCATTTTATCGACGGGCTACTGTGAATTTGGTGTAAGGATTCAGCACAGCTTTAACTACATTACATTATTTCCTGTCTCAAGCACTAACAGACAAGTGTTTTTGTTTTGACTTCAGATGAAAAACAGTCAAAGTTTACATGTATTTAATGTATCCTGGCTGTGGCCAAAGACAATTATTGTTATATCAAGGCTACCAAGTACTTTTAACAGAGCACGACTGTGCAAAAATGATATACAACAGTTGTTATTTTTTCGTGAATAACCCCACACACACATCATTTAATAGGGTGTACACACAAATTCACACAAGCATACCCACAATTTAATAAATGTGCACATGGTTAAAAAATAAACCATCTACCAGAGACACGTAGCTTACTGCTCTTTAACAAGAATGCTTTAACTTAGCTTACACTCACTGCATAATACCTGTGAACACATACGACTACCAGCAGGATTCATTAGTTATGCTTTCTTTCTTCTGTAAGGTTGCACTTCCTTCCCTGCTGTTGTCAGAGCAGTGTGTTGTCTTCACTGTGCCACAGTCTAACCTGAGAAAACTTGGCAACAAAATTTTCCTTCGAGACTTTTTGGACTTTGGACTTGATATTTATGCTTTGTTGCATGAAAATCAAGACCAATAATGCACACTGCATTAAGCAAAAGTGCACACAAGCTTTATTTGTCAAATGATTAACTGTTATCAGATTCAGTTACTGGCCACACCAAAATAACAACAAAGATAACACCTTTAATGTGTTTTTTTCTTTTTCTGGTAATATGTTGACCAAAGGAGGTAGATCTATGGGAGACCAGGTGGGAGATGGAATGTAAATATCATATGATTAAGAAATGATCCTTAATAAATCAAGCTGGAGTGTCTCTGGTATGTGCACTTATTCAATTATGTGTACATTTTAAGTAATTATGTGTGCACTGATTTGCACTTTCTTTCGTTGTATATCGTCTGACACAGTTGGGTGCACATGTGTATATTCCCCTTTGTAGGCCACAGCCAGGCAGTTTTTAGTATCCAAACTTGACATTAATGAATTTGCGTTTGTGCAAACACATGTGCATATACGAATATATGCACACGTAAATAAATATGAGTAATCATATGGTTTTATATACATGCACTTTCTCATTTCTTTTTTGGTGTTGGTTTTGAATCAGCTTTGGATCCTGAGAGGCCATTTTCTGTGTTGTCGATCCCTGATGAAGTTACAAGGCACTCCTTACTGCAGTGGCGTTGGAGGAAAAAAGGAGAAGACAAAGTTAGGACTGTACACGCAGTGCAGCTCAAAGAAACATCTCAAGCTCACTCCATAATCTGATGAAACAGTATGAAATTGTTGCATTGCTGGTAAATATCCAGGTGGTTGCGAAAACTCACTTTTTCTCCTCAATCTTGGAAAGAACAAAGATAGTGAAGTTCTTGAGCAACATGAAGCCCATTAATGCTGCAATGGCTCCGCCCACAGCTGAGGCTATTATGATGGTCAGCCTGTTGTCCACCACCCTCACTGCAGACATTAACAAAGCACCATGATGGAGAAAAATATACATAAAAACAGTTTAAGGTCCAGAAAATTAACATTTTCTACAACGTTTGTGTCGTTACAAAGCCTTCTAATTCGAATAAGTTGGTGCCTCCACAAAAGATTGGAGCTGTAGTGTGGCCCCAGGCTGCAACCGTCTCCTAAGCCTGACTAACCAAACCATTTGAGAAAATAACTGAAGAAATGCACAAAGAGAATATTTATTGTGATAAATTCATTTCTTTTTCACAGTCACCTCAGGATTTATTTTTGTTCTGTGGGATCATTTTCATTTTTTCATTTTCCCTAAGCAGACTAAACATTTCTCCAGCAATGCTGTCCTTGTTTATGTGGCCTGATTTATCTGATCATCAACATACAAATGAAAGCATGTTCTAGTTTATTATTACTGCAGTGTGCACATTATAGGGCCATGAAGCAAACCCCAGTGAGCTGTCCCACATTTGTGATTGGCCAATATATACAGTATGTCAGGGCATATAGTTATACTAGGAATATCTATAGGGATGTGTTGTCATATTGGGCAGTTCCCACATAATTGGGCTAATTTCTGTTGCTGAAAGAGGGGACATTTTCGTTTTGTAGATGAATAATAGGCTGGCTTAAGATCATTTGGGCATGTTTTTAAAAAGACCGCATTTATACATAAAGGAAAGGAAAATAAAGCATAGATCTTGACCACTCACACTCGTCCACCACAATGAGGGTGAAGATGGTACTGTGGTTCCTGCCCTTCTCTTTGGGATTGCGTCCAAAACAAGTGTACTCGCCTCCGTCCTCGAAAGTGATGTTCCACAGCAAGATGGAGATGTTGTTGTTACGGTTCTTCCCCACAAACTCCACCCGCTCTCGATATATAGCCACATTTGGCTCCACCCCCTCTGACACGATCACTGAATCACACACCTGATGGGACCAAGTCATCAAACATCCAAATCTATCAAACAAGTGACCTGAACATGAAGCTTTCTCTCTGACAGAGGGTTCTTACCTTCTGCATGGTGCCGTTGTCATTGAATTGCCAGTTGAAGTAGAGGTTCTCGATGCCGATACAGCTGGCGTATGTGCAAGGCAACATGACTGTGCTGCCATTCACTGCCTGCAGGAAGGGAATCTTCCCAGCAAACATCTCAAGGCCCTGAACAGACCACACACCTGAGGAGGAAAGGGGAGTAGAAACCACAACAAGATTAGACTGTACAGTGCAGTGATGTTGAGTGAACATAAAGTCAGTCTGCTTTACGGCAATAGTTCAACATTTTGGGGAATACACTTGTTTGCTTTCTTGATGAGAGTTCGATGAGAAGATCGAGACCGCTCCCATATCTGACCGTTAAATATGCAACTACAGCCAGCAGCCAGTTAGCTTTGCATAAAAACTAGAAACAGCTCATCTGGGTCAGTCCGAAGGGAACAGAGTCCATCTACCAGCACAAGCTCACTAATTAATTAACACACATCTTGCTTGAATAATACGTACCAGAAATTGAATAAGTAACTTTTTACAGGGCATTATGGGCCAAAATGTATCTTGGCTGGGAGCAGTAACTACCTAAAGTCTTGTCATATTTGTGAGAACACCAGCAAATACTTCAGGAAGTTACTGCTCCCAGTGTCAAGAAACAGTCTTGATTTTGTGACCTTCGGTCAGAACCTCCAGTCTTTATGCTAAGCTATGCTAATCAGCTGCTGTCTGTAACTATATTTTCACGGATTTGACAATAGTCCAAAGTAAAATATGACAGTTACTGAACTTTGTGCTCCTTGGACTCATTTTATGGTCACATCACAAAACAAGTCCTGCCTGCTCATCCAGTTACACCTGACCAATGAGAGCAGGTTCATGGACAGTGACAGTAAATCTGACTCATACACATCAAAACACTAACTACCTGATTATTCAAATCATTTTAGACCATTTTGATAACATTTTAAGTGCTCGCTAATACAGTATGTAATAGGACAACTTAATTCTATGTTAGATTTGCATGATTTCAAGAACACATTACAACATACAATAAACTATTATTGGCACTTGACTAGTCACACCCTCAGTAACATGACACCACAAAGTCCTTGCTGTGACATTACTGTAAATAAGAGAGGCTGAAATCTGCTGGGCCCCTTGAAAGAACTGTAACTGAACACCGGGGACCACAGAGAGCCCAAGTAATCAAATCCTACCTCCACCAATTACGACGGATGGAGCAGGAAAACCGCCGTGTCTTTTTTATAGTTTGTTTTTTCTTTTTTCCTAATTAGTATCCCACCTTCTGTTTATGTGTCGAGGTCACAGGTAGGCAAGAGTCACAGTATATATAATTTTAGAAGGTCAATGACGGACCGAAGGTCTGTTCTCTCCCTCTTCTACACCGTTAAAGCTCCCCCTGCTTAATGCTTCCATCTAGTGTGTGAGATGTAAACTACAAACTCCCAAGGTGATGTGCAGAACCAGTACACATATGATGAGGTTATGGGGAGAAAACACCTGATAAGATGATGGTTTCAGGAGCAGCTGTATTTCCTTCACTGCTTCTCACATTCCCACGGTTATGTTTTGTGTGTTATGCTTCGCTCAAAACACGGTCAAGGTCAACGTATGACAAGCAACATTGCAGCAAATAAAGAATAACATTGCTACCAACTGCAGACATGGCTTCACACAGCGAGGCTGTGGCATACTGTCGACGGAAATGTTATTGATTCATTCTCATCTCACCCTTGCTATCTTGCAAAACTCACTCTCTCCAATCTTTTTCCTAAGCTGGTCCAATGCAGCACAGTGAGCTTGCAAAAACAGCAATAGAAGCAGTGACGAGAGAGCAACAGCATCCCCCCTCCCGTCTCTTTCCTAGTTCACATTTTACAGTGTCACTTTTTTTATCAACCTTTTACAGTATTTTTGTAATATATATTGTAATAATATTTGTAGTTGCTGCAGCTGCTGACAAGAGACCCAGAACAAAACTAAAGTAAAATTACATGGAAATACAAAATTGAATGATCTGTTCTTCTGATTACTCTGACAACATTAAAATATTACTCCCACATTGTCTCTTTTTGGAATTTGTATTGAGGTTTCTAATTAAAGTTGTTTTGCAAGGTAAAGTGTTGGGGCTTCAGATAAAACTAGAACAGTGATGCTCCAGTTTCTAGCCTATATATGTCAACTTTAGAATATCTTACAACATATGCCCACATCATTTCTAAAAATACATAGTTCATCAAAATAACAGAATAGTATCGCCCGGCCAGTTTACTAAATTGTAGACTCTACAAGTTTAGTATCAGCCTCTACAATGGCATTGTAGAATTGGCATTCACACCAATACAGATGTATCTGCAGTGAGCTAATATTGGTCGCTCTATCAGTCTAGCTGTACAATAAACCACCAGCTATTATGAAATACAATGGTCGACCAAACATGAATGGCACTTGATAGAATTTCTTTGACAATTCACAAGAGATTTTAGGTGAAGAAGGGACAAGAATCGATCTTATTCGTATTCGTATCAAAGGTGTAAAAGGAAACATATACTGGTTTGAATGGTTAGAATGACAAAAACAACAGAAGATGTCTTAAATTGGAACAAAATTCAACCTAAACATGAACAGCCTATGCTGAAAGCCAAAATGCAGAGACATAAAACAGCACTGTTTCTTCTGCTTAACAAGTGTAATATACAGTTTTAAGCACCTCGTAGTGTATTATACTATAGAGCAAACACATATGATGGTTAATCCATCTTATAATGTTGATGCGTAGATGTAACTGCTGTAGCATCCCTCTCTCTCTCTGCTCCACCTGCATCTGCTGATGAAGTCTACCATGCAGTTTTTGTAATGGCCAAAATGTTTGCTGTTCATTCTAAATAAAGAGAACACCTGTGAGCAAGAAATAGCCATTCTTGTTCTAAAAAACACCATCTCAATGTTTACCTGGCAACACAATTCCACTGTCAGTCCACGTGTGGAATCGGAGGTGAATATCTTAAACTTATTGAGAATTATTAATGGGATCAAATTGACAAGGCCAGGAATGATGTGAGGTAGTTCTAGAGCACATAATGTCACAGACCATGGTCTCATGTAGATCATCTTTTTAATGCCTGTTTGCTGCGCTATTGCTGCACTGATGCTGCACACACCCATAAGCGGGTTGAGAAAAAAATCCAAGAATGATCTGCTGTAAGTACTGAATGTATGAACAATGTCAGAAAAGGGAATTAGACATACATATTCTGACAGAAGTATTTTACTCAAAATAGTTAATTGTCAGATAACGGCTAATGCAGAATAAATGCAGGATGGCAGCTGTCTGCCAGTGTACGGTGGACATTTATACATTATGTGTCAACTATGACTGCAATTGGATTCTAATGGGATGTTTTTTTTCTTCACAGAGGAACAGGAAAGAGTCCAATAAGGCAACACTTTATTTGGAGTTGTGTGGTTGGGTGTCACTTCAGGCAAACAGAATCCAATATACACAGCTGAATCCTCTATATCCAAAACACCATAAAAGCAACATGGTGAGAGGCGACTATCGCCACTGTCAGTCTCAAACTGCTGCATGAATTTACTCGAGACAACAATATCATATCTGGATAGCTACTGTGCTGTAACTGTACGATCACTGCAAAATACTCTTTATCAATATATGGATTCATGAATCAAATAGAAATTAAACTGATATTTTACTGGACACTGCTCCGAGTGACTCTGCTGCACTATTACTGCAGATACACCTCCACTGTAGGGAATCAAAACCTCTTGTCTAGAGTGCCTCAAGTCTGACACAGCTTTCCCATCATAAGAGCCGCTATTCTGCCGATGTTTACTCCTTGGGGGACATACAATCCCAATCACAACCAATATGGATCGCAGATAACATCAAAATATTGAACAATGGCTTTATTCCGGACAAGCACACTTTAATGAAACATTCAGTCCTTGTTCTGCGTTTCACTGCAGAACTAGCAGCACATTCTGCTAATGAAATGAAACATGCAACCTTCAGAAAAAAACCCTACTCATCACGAGAAAACAAGTCCTGTCTCCAAAGTAAAACCCTTCTGCGAAACCTAGTGTACCGACCTAAATACAATTGCAGTCAACACTGACGTAGGTCAGAAGCTGATGAAGGTCAATATCAAATTTGGAAAAGCCACAGCGTCATCGTTCTGCATTCCAACACAAACACACATCGATATTGGCAACAAGCTGTCGGTATTCAATAACGGGTGAGGGGTAAAAAAAACAAATGTGAAGTTTTCAAAAAAGAGAGATGAGGAGGCATCGTGCAAATCAGCTGTAGCATAAATGATCACGGAGAGAATAAAGAGAGGTGACGTAAAGACATTACCAAGCAGCATGGAGAAGATCAGGCCGACGGCTGTGTGTGGAGGGCCCAGCCTCGGGAGTTCAACCCCAAACCACTGGACCTCCATGGCAGCCAGACCTGTTCCCAAACAGATACTGCTGCAGGATCCAGCGGTCTCTAGATAGCGCACACAGTATCCTTTAGCACAACTTGGCCTCTCTGGTATACTGGATTGAATCTGGAATATGCTGTCTGGGTGTCTGGACCCTAAACGTGGCACGTCCCAGTCGTGCACCTGCAGTTGTCCCGGGGTCAGGGAGCCTGCTCGCCTATAACCCCAGAGCACTCCTGTGGAAGAGACTGTAGGTTAAACAGAGGGCAGAGGAG